ACATTTTTAATATCGTTGATTCTTGCCAAAATACGGTCGCAACAAAAAATCGCATTAGCAGTAGCATCGTCAGGCATTGCGGCTACTTTACTGGATGGTGGGCGAACAGCACATTCAACATTCAAGCTGCCATTGGACGTGCATAATAAACCAGATGCAATGTGTAACATCAAAAAGAATAGTGGAATAGCTGCAGTGTTGCGGAAGAGTTCTATAATAATTTGGGATGAGTGCACAATGGCACACAAATATTCACTTGAAGCATTAAACAGAACTATGCAAGATTTAAACAGCAATAATAAACTTTTCGGTGGTGCTATCTTACTTTTGTCTGGTGACTTCCGGCAGACCTTACCGGTTATACCTCGCTCTACTTTCGCGGATGAGATTAATGCATGTTTGAAACAATCATTCTTATGGCGAAGTGTTGAAACACTTCGATTGACCATAAATATGCGAGTACAATTGCAAAATGATCCATCAGCACAAATATTTTCCGAACAACTATTAGATATTGGGAACGGTAAAATAGAACTGCAACCAAATACGCAATGCATTAAACATCTGCGTGAAAAAGCATAGTGGACTCCGGGACTTTAGCCACAGCAACGCGTGGCCGGGTCAGCTAGTATAACATGTAAATAGAATATTTTATGATGTTCAAAAAAAACTTTTTTTTCTTCTTCGAGTGCATTATTATTTGCACGATCAAACAATTTCATATTATTATATTTGAACTGTCGAATAAGTTTCAGTAAATATGTTAAATTTTAGGGGAGTAAATAAAGCGAAATGATGGATGTGCTTTAAATTTGACCACTTTAAATAAAACTTGTTGAGTGTTACTACATCGACTTCTCAATTTTAAGATTAGGTTACACTTCTTAGGAAAGTTTTTATACATTAAAATAAAACTATGATTTGTATACATTTCGTTATATTGACTTGTCTTTTATCAAATTCTCAATAAAAATAATAGTACACAGTTCGATAATGATTTATAATATTGTCACAAAGTAAAACACATATTTATATTTACTTCGGTCAAACTAGTCTTTCATGTCAATTTTACACTTAAAAATGTGTTTGAATTGTGTTTTTGTCATTTGAGCATGACTATAAATGTTGTAACGTATTATAAAACGTATTATAACGTGTAGACAAGAAGTTTACTGGGTTTTGGTAAAACATAAAATTAACGGTTGTTTTTTGTATACATTCTTTATGTTAAAACGTATCAAAAACAATACAACATTATTTTGTTTCTTCAAGCCCAGCAAAAATCAAATTCAAAGACAAATGATTAATTATTATTCTGAATTCATAACAATGAAAGGTTTAATACATCAAGTGAGATGAATTACCAACAATACCGGGTGTCTTTGTGACCCACCATTACATTACTATTTTTAAATATTATAAGATTCGTAACGCGGCGCATCATATAGGCAATATAGGTACTTAAATTGAGGAACACAATAATATTATTAGGAATTTAATTAATAATATTAATTATTGTGAATAGAGCGTAGCTCTAAGGATATTATTATAGTCTATATAGTTAGTATATTATGTATTATATACATTTTTATGTGTATTGACGGAATACTATGATTCGAGTAACATATGTTTATAGTTAATGTATAAATTACGAACAAAAATATTTTATTAATTGTGTAACTTTATCATGATATAATTATATAAACATAAACAAACCTATACTATTAAAACAGAGGTTCAAAATGTATTAAAAAACAATATGTTGTGCATTTTAAATATAAGATACACCCTGATATATATATATTATTTTTATTAAACTTTAGCATCAGAAACAAGAGACATTAGCTTTTTACATTATTTTTTTTTATTTTTGGTAACAATATGATTACAATAATATAGGACTTATCATTTTTTGTTTGTGTTTCTCTTAAATGTATTTCGTCATTTTGATGATAATAAGGAATGAAATGACGTTTTCTGGCTGATAGTCAGGTCTGATTATTTCATAGAGGTTCATTGGTCTATGGTGTCTTGTTATATTATTCATAACCCATAGGATGATATATTATAATATTTTGTACTTACGTACAATACATTTTTTTTAAATTATCAAATAACATATCATGTGGTTTGTGGTCTTCACAAATTAATGTTATAATTATTATTTTCGCACCAAAAATTACATTTGTTTGCATCAGTTACATACGTTGTTTTAATAATAATATGCTTGTATGGTATATTGTGTTGAAATAAGTAATAACTTATTTAGTTATTTATTTAATATCAAACTCCTTGACCATCTGGATACAAATTAAAATATGGTAAAGATATTCTCATTGTTGTTATCCTTTTTCAAAAAAATATTTAACCCTACTGACCGTTAATAAAAATTGTAATCGTGCAAGCATACATTTCCTTTTTAGATACCTAATTAGTCTCACAATATATTCTTGCTGTATAGTTAAAAAAAAAACAAACGACAAAATTTTCATTTGAAGAAAAGTTGTATCAATTAGTAGTAAGTCGTTTCAATTGATTCAATATTCAACCACGCATAATTTATAGAAATAATTCATAAGATGAAGTTATAATGTTTTATATAAAAAAGGGTCTATAAAGAAATAATATATATATTTATACTAATAAACAAATGTAAAAAATACAAAGACGTGCAGACATATTATTATATACATAGTTACTTTATGTTTGTTTCGCGTTTGAAGCACGATCGGGAGTAGAATACGATTGACTGTTTGAGTTCAGGACTCGTTTATGTGGCTTGTAAGTGTAACGATCGATGGTGTAAGAGTTAAAGACTCGTTTTATCTCCTTACTGTTTTGTATAGATTGGAGAAAGAATTGTGAAAATCAACAAACGGACCATTGCATAATATTATAATACTGTTAAAGTCTGTTAATTAATTGAGCGTTCTCCACCGTCACATTAAATTAATTAGAATAATTACTAACATCAAGTGTTAATTTAAAATTTTCTCTAATGTCACTATGAGTTGTAAATCGTTGTAAATATGTGCTTAATAATATATATTCGTATATTAAAATACCGTGTCACGTTGCTTCGTCGACATTTCAGAAGACGAAAGCGAACATATGAGTCATGTGCACGTTGAGCATATTATTAGTATAGTAATAAGGCCCGGGCAGACAGAGTCGTGTGTCCTGGAGTAGGTATGCGTACGTCTCGTTTGTGAAAACGAAAGACAGTAAACAAAGAAAAGGGGAGAAAATCACAAATCGTTCACTTGTATAATATAATAATAAACTTGAAAAAAAAACAACGTCGACGTATAAAGGACAATAGGACAACAGCACAACGTAGGGGGACCCGAAACTTTGGGTATTCGAGTAAAGGTAGTTTTGTTTCGTTTTTAATATGTAATCGAAACGTATCCTATTCCCTGGAGCGGTCAAACCTATTTTGATAACAATCACACACATAAATAAACATAATATGCATGTATATTCAAATTGATAGAGAAGACATTTTCTGGTCCTTTTTCGTGTGTTATTATTTTTAATATTTTTGACCTTTTTTATCTAGTGATTTAAATACAAATACCATGTCGAATGAAAATAAACAGTAAAAACCGATGGATATAGTCATGTCGAAACTAACAATCCACTACCTAGGCAAAAGGCAAAAAGCAATTGGTATTTTTTACACACTCAAACATCAGTGCACTCGTTAGACGTTTTTTTATGCAAATATTTTTTTTTCGGGAATTTTGGTGATAATTTACACTCGAATTATATGATTTGAATGCTATTGTACTATTAACCTAATTATAACACAATATAAAAGGTACTATTTTATGAATTATATAAAGAATTAATAAATGTTTTAATAATTTATTTTAATTATATGATATTTCTCATTCAGAATAATTATTTTCATGGTGTTTTTTAGCTTATAGTTATAAATTATAATACACACACCTACAACGTATTTATTTGAAAAGCATACAAAAGAAGTATTTTAATTTTATGCTTGAGAATACAATAATAATATAAGCATAGTATTTGTAAACAATTTAAACGGAAATCCTGAACAAATCGAATAAATTACTTCGATGAAAAACTAGAAAATAATTATCGTATTTTTAGCTTTAAATTAATTATAAATCAAACATAACTTCATAAACAATTGTTTAAATCTTCACAAAAAAAAACGCACAAAGGGCAATTAATTCTTGCAATTTTTGAAAGGTAATAAATATAAGTTTTCATTTAACTTTGGCTTCGCAATAAGACTATACACATTTTTTATCCGAATTCATTGTTTGTGCTGACCCGTAGTATAACTTTATTTCATTAATACAATTTCAGAGTTTTTATGTCAATTATAAAAAAATACTAAATATATTTTTTTATATACAGTGAAACTTCCATTTAACGGAGGGGAACGCGGGGAACAAGAAAAATTGTATAGAATTAGTAGAGCGAATCTTTAAACATAATTTACACATGATTAACAATAAAGGTCTGCAAGGTCCTCCAAAATAAATCGTTAAAAAGAAAATTTTGTTCTATGGAAGTTTAATTGTATATCTAATTTGGTAAGAATCATTTTTATTGAATTTAGATCACCAATGATTCACGTGACTAGGAGATCCTCTACGGCTTCGCAATCGGACTCGGACAAGTACGGAACTTTGGATGACACAGACATGTCGGTGAATTCACTTACAAGTGTCAACTCAATATCGAGTTTGCTGAGGGAAAAACTTTTAGTGAGCGTTTACAGTATTATCATAATACATTTTTGGTTTCTTTTAGAATATACTAATATGAGAAAAAAAAATCGTACTACAGATGAATATTCAAAAAATGTCGAAAAATAAAGAAGTGCAAGCCGATTACAAGCTGAGGGCGTTCATTATATTTTTGTTTGTTGTGATAGTCTGCGTGCTGAAACTTGCCCACGTCTATTACGACCGTCACGTGCTGCAGGTGAGTAAAGTATCGTCGTAGATGTAATCAAAGTCATCGTATTGGCGAATAGTTATAAAATAAAAGTACGGTACGACGGAAACGCGTATTAAATGGAGTGAATGAATTATATTTAGATAAAAAATAATAGTTTTTAAAGTTTTTCTCTAAAAATAATTTTCTAATTGAGGTATGAGTTAAACCAGTTGAAATTGATTTGTTCTTTTAATTAATTTAAAAGAAATATAAGAGACATAATTACATAAATATTAAAGTGAACATTGTATTTATAGCAGATATCTAAACATGTGGCTAAGATTAAAAATAAATAACTTTATACATTTTTATGTACACTGGACGACCTGTATTATGTATGTATATTATATTAAATACAAATAAATCAATAAATATTTCTCGCGTCAATAATAGATTAGATATTATTAGAATACAGTCGTCTAACCACTACAACAACGCGTGTATTAATTGCAGAATAAATGGACATTGGAAAGAATTAATAAAATATACGTGTGACCCCAGGTGTTAATTTAATTGATATTTTTCCTGTTCGAATGAAGTTAATGTTATTTTGTCTAACATAATCTTAAAACTTTTACAGTCGAATATAACATGATGTCATTTTGTTGTTGAAACGTTATTAGCGTTGACTTATCTTAACTTATCTACAACTACCTAAATCAAGTTCATTGTTTTCATAAACTCGGCCACCCTGCTTGTACTAACCGCACGACGTACGAAGTGTGAGCGGTCGCGTGTACAATAATATTTCGCTTGCACATATATATATATATATATATATACATATAGTACAGATCATAATAGTCACGTGCTGTTTGTGTGTTGTGCGCAGAAAGCATATTTCAAGTACACGAGGTTCAACAAGGACGACCGTTTCTTGCGATTATTCGGTGTCGACGGGCACGAGATAGCGTTCGGTTACCTCGGCGTGGAACTGGCGGAGAGGGAGAAGGCTTTCGATTGCTTGGCGGCGGAGCACCGTACGCCTCCGAACGCGCAGTGTTTCGAATGGATGCAAAAGGCCAGATTGTATCTGTCCCACGAGGAAAGACCGGAGGGTCTGAACTGCTACACGGTGGAGTGGTTCAGCCTGACGGATAAATACAACCCCATAGACTGTTACGAGGACGGTGAACAATACGGCCATTGGTTAGTCGAATAACGTAATAATATTATTATCATATCGTAACGCAGCGACCGGTTATCGGCAAATCGTATAAAGCGACGCTCGCGAACGTCGGTGTAATAATAATAATAATAATAATAATAATAATAATAACGACGACGACGTAGGTACCTACCTAATAATGTAATGGCGTCGCGGTGCAGCGGAATTTCACGCCGCGTGTTAATATATTGTTGTACGCCACGGCGGCAATCGATACCGAGCCGAACGCTCGAACCCTCGCTACGATGTCGCGGGCTCTCGACTCCCGGTAAGACGTAAATTTTATTTCACGCCGAAGTCTCAAAGTGCATTTCCGAAAATCCGTTTATGCATATTGCATATGGTTGTATATACTCGACGATACATCCCCGCCGCCGCCCGTAAACCTTTTATGGCCAACCAACCCCCCCCCCCTCCTACCAACCGCACACGCACACGTTAACGTCGGTTCACTAACCACATTTTGTGATGAAATTTGTAAAATGTTATTATACGAAGAGCGACGATCGACGAGAATGCGTACAGTTAATAGTTATTACTTTGTGTTGCCAGAACACATCAAATAACTTACTACCTACCATATTATTATATTATGTACATTGTACAAACCGTTGGTCGTGAAAATGTGAGGAAACGTACGTCAATCAAAATAATAGTCATATTATAACACCGATCCGAATATTTTTACGACGAAACATAACATGTTACCGAGTACATTTATATTGTTCCAAAAATATTTTGACATTAACTCTGTGATTGGAAACGTGTTGGACGTATATTTTACAGGTACGGAGGTGGTAGAACGTTGGGCATGGCTTGGCCGGTCCAGTTGGGGAGGGTGGAAATGTCGCCTTTCATAACCGGACACGTTGGCAGGCACCGGTGGGGTAGCGTGCTCGGCAGGTACTTCATCAACTCCAAAGGAGTGGCGATCACTGTGCATTCAAACACGCCACTGCACGTGTCCATAAACGCCGGCCGCGACAACAGGTTGTGCATAAAGGTTCGTGTCGGGTGTCGCCAGTGAAAATAAGGCGCGTGTGGTACAACGGGGAGGTTTTCGCATTTCGTTTTTCTGTGAGCGGAATAATAATAATAATTTTTGTACAATTATCGTCCTTCCAGGCGAGCCACGACGACTTCGCCTATCGACGGGAAGCCGAACTGCCGGTCCTGAACTATACGATATGCTCTGCTCGAAACATGAAGACGCTGCACACTGCCCTCTCCGAGAAAATGTTGTGGGACGGGCTGAAAGCGTCGGACACCGAGATTATAAACTCCCTGCTCACCGAGCCCGTCTGGCAACTGGCGCCGCCCAGGAAAGAACTACTCAACGAGTCCACGATGGTCAACTACACAGAGGACATCATCACGCTGGGTTTCATAAAACAAGGTAAAGTCATTGCCCAAGTGTGGTATAAAGCATTAAGAGTTAACGAATTCGACCGAAAACCGATGATAGGTATAAAATCTCAACGAATAAACAAAAATAACAAAACAGGCTATATTTTAAGAGAAATTATTAACAATGAATACATAATCATTTTCTAGCCAAAATTATATTATAGTTATTAAATTGTTATTTTTATATGCGTTCGAGTTTATTATTTTATATACTTACATAATATTATATTTCTTTAGTTAAAATCTAAAAAGTATCAATAAAAACAAATCGAGTTCAATCCAGTATGAAATTAATTTTATAGTTCAATAAATAATATTTTAGTTTCTAAATTTATGGTTATTACTTTATTAGAATCTAAATATATCACCTGAGGTAACGCTGTAATTTGTAGGACACGTGTTGCTGAACGAATTTTGGCAAGCGGAAATGGGTGATTTTTCCCTGGACCAAAAAAGATTTCCAACCATGAAAGAGACGATCAATATAATCCACAGGAGAGGTTTTCGAATTGTGGTCACTATACAACCATTCATTAGCACCGAATCGAGAAATTTTGCAAAAGCCGTCAGAGAGGGTATTCTCGTGAGCACCAAGAGTGAAATAACTTGTTGCTATAATATTTAGATATGAAAAATAATATTATAACCATCGTGATTATGACCCGTTGTTATTCAGGTCAGACAAGTCGGAAATGAGCGAGACGTCCCGGCCCTGACCAGATACAAAACTGTGCAAAGTGCTGGAATGTTGGACGTAACCAACAAAAACTGCGGACCATGGTTACAGCAACAGTTGAAAGACCTCGTGGAAAGATATCAATTTGACGCTTTCTACTTGGACATGGGTAAGTACTAAGTAAGCACGTGAAACCTAATTACCAAGTATCGAATAACGCACGTCGTGCGAATAATTTTTCTGATTTTTTTTCTTCACTTTTCTAACTCAGGATCCGCTTACGACCTACCCCGCCATTATCTGTTTGCCGAGAACCTAACGAATCCGGACTACTACAAATCTCTATTTACGCAGATGGTTTCAGACAGCGTAAACGTGTTCGGCGTCTCTTCGGCCATCAGTCGGCCGCCGGCTCCAATTTTCGTGTCGTTACTGTCATTGGCCTCGACTTGGGACTCGCTCCAGGTGATCATACCGACCATGCTCACGTATGGAATAGTCGGGTATCCGTTCCTGCTGCCTGGCCCTGTCGGCGGAGACTTTCAAGTCGGTAACGTTTCGTTGCACGCACTGATTCCGCCAGGTAAAGAGCCCCCTACATCCACCGTGTAATGTCACGCGCGCATTTCATTTTCATTTTATTCAGACAATCCGTCAGTAGAACTTTTGGAGACCCAATCGCTGAAGGAATGCAAGCAACGTGGACAGAACTACAATGAGAGCCGAGAACTGGTGATGCGATGGATGCAGTTGGCTACGTTCTTACCGGTGATTAGGTATGCAAGGCTGCCGAGCGATTGTGACCCACAAGTACTCCAGCTGACGAAAAACTTGACGTCACTTCGACAGCAAACAGTAAGTGTTTTTACTGTCAAAGATTTCCACATCAAACCCCGCATCGTGTGGTACAACTAACTGCTACTGGGAAAATGTATTTTTTGAAATCCAGCCAAGACCCATTTTGTTCGGTAGTTAAATCATTTATAGCTGTTTTTTACGGTCATTTTAACTACCCGCCGAGCACTTTGTTCCCAAAGTTTTTATCATAATACTGGTGCAAGACATTAAATTCGATTATTTGTGCGCGATGTATACACGCTGTGTCTTAGTGGAAGCTTAAGAGAAGAGTGAATATGATAAAAGTGGCAAATTCAAAACGAACGTTGTGAAAAGTTTCACGTCGGCAGTCACGTCTTAGTTATAAAAGTCTTGCCACTTCGGTTGATAACGGCCAATAATCTACAATTTCACCGGAGTCTCATGACTGCAATTTGAACACACACTGCTAATGGATACAACCAGAAGCGTATTATACACGTACGCACTTGCAAAAGTTTTTGATCACTGCGCGCCCGTAATCCTATCAGCCCTAACGTCGTCGTCGATATCGTTGTAACGTTATTATGGTCTTATGCCGTACATTTTATTCAATTACTTACACAAACTTCAGGAATAAATATTAGTATATTTACGGTGACGACGATAATAATTCGATTGTGGGCGCGTCGTAAAATATAGGTGTGTACTGTGTATATTCGATTATACTGAGACACTCGTATATCGCGTCGTGAGATCATAATGCAGGTGTGATGAAAGCTGTAGCCCGTAGTAGTTCGTATTATGTTTTCGAAAGGCTATTCCCCCACCCCTCTCCAGGCGTATCAATCCAACTCATCATCACGTGGCAAACCAAAATATTACATTACATTAATTAATATGTCCATTCGGTTTGTGCTCAGATCAATCCATTGCTTAAACGGTACGTCCAAGAAGCTCTGGAAACCGCGGTACCCTTGATACGGCCGCTGTGGATGTTGGATCCGTCGGACACGACGTGCTACATAGTGAAAGACGAGTTCTCCATTGGCGAAGAAGTCATCGTGGCGCCTATTCTAAGACCAGGCGCCACGGAGCGCGAGGTGTACCTTCCGGCCGGTGTGTGGAAGGATGGGATCGAAGGCAGCTTGAGAAAGGGGTCCAGGTGGATACACAACTACAAGATACCGTTGGACAAAATAGCGTATTTTGTCAAAATGCCAAACAACACTAGATTTTGATTCGTTAATATACTTAGAATTATTTTATAATAATATGGGTACAGTATGATTCACCTATCGTGCTCATACCCATTTTTCCTTAACACTTGTGAGTTAATTCGAATTCTGATGTTCAGATTTTTTATCAAAACTATATGTGTGACAAAAATGATCGTTGTCATAATTCTTAGTGACTATTCAAAATATAGTGTTTAGTTTTTCTAGTTTATAGTAGCCAGTATATATATAAAAAAAATAAATTAATATTAAAATTATTGACAGTATTTTTTATTACTAAATACTTACCAATGAATTTTTTTCAAATTAAACCATAAATTCTTAATATGTCATCGTATATTATAATAGTGTACTTACTCTAAATAATAATCGATCATTAATTAGCGTGTAGTTGGGACTGATGTATTGTTAATATATACATGTATACAGTATTAAATTATAAACAACAAATGTTGAATATGATTCTACAGTAATATTAATGATAAATAAAATACAATATAAATAGGTGATTATTATAAAATACGTAGAAAATTCAACCGTAACAGATTTGATGGTCACCAAGTGTTAACTATGGACATCACATATTCGATATGACATGCGATCTAATGATCTATTAGATAAATCTATCTAGATATTGAGTACCTACTTTTAATATTTATCTTTGGTTAGTATCTAAATAAATATTGTTTAAGTTTCTTTATGTTTATCTTGGATAAAAAAAAACTGTACTTATATAAATTTGATCCAATAAACGCATAAAAATTAAATATTCATGACCGATTTTGTATTTTTATAAAAAATAATAAAATATATTCTGGGGATAGGATTTTGTTTTTATATATACTTGTATACATATTATACATATAAATATATACATAAATACATAAATATTAAATATAAGTAATTCAGAGACAAAAAGTAAATAACACGTCAGTTAACAAATAAATTAGAACTTTGCAACAAAATGTATAGATTTAGTACTTACACCTGTATAATGGCTGTTATTATAAGTCTACACCAATACTATTAAACTATGTTTGCATTAAGCAGTATTATGTAGTGGTGTGTACATTTGTTAGGTTAGTTCTTAAGATACAGGTTTAGACTTAAGCTGTTTTAGTATTGATGCAGAATAATATAATAACTGACAGTTATTATTCACACAGACAGAATCATAATTATACATTATAATATGTTGGTAATACTATTAATATTTTTCATTATTTTTAATACTGTCCATTTTGTACCAATTACGTAGGTTAATATTATCAATACTACATGTTATAATATTATGAATATTTTAACATAAATACTTATTTTACCATATTAACAAATTTATTCTTTTGTTGTTATCATTGATGGGTATGCTGAAAAATGAAATCATCTATATTTTATTATCTAGATGAAAACGTTATTTTAATTATTCATCTTACAAACCAACCTAAAAGTTTTGTTATCTGGACTCAACGCTGTTGATGAATGACTCTATAGATATATTGTTCGCGTCATAATGTAGGTCGTTACATACGTGTCATCATGAAAAACAATCGATTTTTTTAAATACTTCACCCAGATAGATAAAAAAACTAATAGATACTGTTGGATACAAACAATATCTCGTTAACGATGACGTTTACGTGTGTGTAAGACGCGAGTGAACCGTACTTGCATGAGTAATTAATTAAATTCGAGATTCGTATGGTTCAACTTTAAATAATAACAACGCTAAACGTCGACAGTCAACCAACTACTTTAAGGATTGACTTAAGATTAATTAACAGTATTGTAATATTTACAACCGTGTATTACGCAGTTTTTGATATAATATAGCGTATTTATTAATGACTTGTCTACATTTACATGAAAAAAAAATTAAAATCAAGTATTTTGTGAAAATAAAAACGATTATTTTAAAAACAACTGGAAATAGCTACCTCTCCGTTCGTCCAGAGTCTAAAAGTGTAATTAATTAGGAAAAAATCGTAAAAACAGACTGTTCTAACGTTAAAAAATATTTTAAATAAAGGCATCAGTTTAACTCAAAGAGGAAATCGTTAAAATATCACTACACAGCATATTTTCGGTACCTACCGTATACATTATAGTGAAAAAGATATTATATGATTTATTTGATTCAGCATTTTGGTTACATACTATTTTCTTATTCACTTGTACTATTATTTTATACTTTTAGTGAGTTTATCATTTGATTGGATATTAAGATAATTTTTTGTCTATAGAAAACTAAAAAAAAATATTTCCCTTAAATAATTATATAATCATAAAATATATTAGTACTAATTTTGTACGAGTATGTGTGGATTAAACGTTTTAATTAAAATCGTAAACATACATATTTTTATAATGGCATATTTAAAATAAACAAAAATTCAAAAAATAACCTTCAAATGTCTTAAAATAAAACAGATACAAAATGAACATGGAATATTTTCGAATTACAGCTCACAAGCATAATATGTGGTTTTTGCAGTTTCTAAATAAAAATAATCAATTAATGCTCTCATCATAATTTATAATTATGTATTATACATTATTTTGGACAGAAGTATTTCTAATTTAAATAAAAACAGTATCTGCTATGATCAATTTCACAAGATCCATGAAATTATTTACCTGTAAGTTATAAATAATTGTTTGAATGTTGTTTAAACTTTAATTATTGATGTATGTATTCAAGGCCATAGCCAGAAAAATATATGGGGGGGGGGGGTCAGAGAAAAAATATGTTATAGTTTATATTATATTATAAAATATGAAAATATAAAAATATTATTTAAATTAAATTAAACACTATTTAAAAAATAATTAAATCCTATTTCAACAAAAATTTAGGGGGGTGAACCCTACCCCCCCTGGCTACGGCCTTGAGCGTATTATTATATTCTGCTGAGAAACAATTTATTATGCATATAGTTTGTAATGATCTCAATAATGTATATTTAAAACGTTTATATTGTGAGTTACGAATATGTTAAACAGTATTAATTTATGAAAATATTCTTTGGCTACTAATTTTTTTCAACAATAATAAAGTGTGTAAAAAAAAGACATTTTTTTCTGCCAAAAATATCTTAAAGTTTTTATTAAGTCCAATTAATTTTGTCTCTTTGAGTTAAAAAGATTCTTCCGATTTAAATAAAAAGTTTCCAGACTATTTGTGTATAATAAACATCCAGCGCATAAATTAAAGGTTACAATAATTACTATAATATCCGATATTACAATATGCGATCAGTGAAATTTTATTAATTAATCACCACGAATACAAAACGGACAAGAACTGAATTATTTTTAAAGTTTTACCAGACAACAATTTGTGACAGTCGTAATTCGTGATTTCAATCTTCCAGATCGAATTTGACCTGTAATACATTTTATTATTATTATTGAAATCGTGGTTTCTGAAATAGAGAACCGTGTTGTGTATATTTTTCGTACATTCAGCGGTCGCTCGGGGTCAGTTGCTTTTTGTCTTTTTTCAGTTATGGAATGATTGTTTTTTAGGAATACGGAATATAAACAGACGTCAAAAAACAATGGTATATGGGATATAAAACAAAAAAAATCGTAAATATTATGTGTTATGCACACGACGTTAAAGCCGCGTATTGCTATTGTTTTGTGTAAACACAGCTGCAATTTGTTAGAAACCGTGTGTACCTAATGATAATAATATAAAAAACTGTGGTTTCGAAAATCATCGACAGTAACACCAAAATGATCGCTGCCGAAATATTCGTAAAACTCATCATTTTTGTCGTACTGAGTTTAGTCGTTTCGTTGATCGTCTTACCGCGACTCGTGATCAAAACATGATAGAGGAGAAAATAGAAGTTGATGAAAAAATTATAGAAAAATATGTCATCGTCGTACACGACAGATCGACAGGACGTCTCACCCAATGTCCTTGGGCTGCAGCTGAAAAGGAGGAGATAAATAATAATTCCAGGACTGGCGTTATTATGCGTCTTGAGAAGAAGATGATCATCGAGCGCGGGCGTCAGAAACAATAGTAGAATTAATAAGGTAGTACCTACAATAATATTATATTTTCAAAAATATTTTCAAATCCTTTGTGGGGAGCGCTGTTTGTTTTCGAAATGCTGATAAATGTTAATCGCGTGCGACGATGATGATAATAATAATAATAATAATAATAATAACAATATCTGTACTAAGTTTTTGTTTTACAGACCGTGGGTAGGTATAATATTATAATATTATAATAATATCAAAACGCCATTCGCGGATTAACGGATATATACGAAGCGAGGGAACATAAATAATGACCGTTATCTCCATACTATCTCCAACCGTAACGTGTAATTTCGACTTTTGAATATTGGGTGCATTTTATAAAACAGGAAATAAAACTATCATATTATTATATTAATATATTGCGGAGTCGTCAGTTAAATTAAATAATCGCTGTGTGCTGTATTTAAAGCTTTGTCCGTATTTTATTATATTATCGTTAACGTTCGTTAGAGCAATGTTGTGTAGGTACATAATGATATGGGTTGCTATATTATACATATTAAGTATTAAAAAACGCGTGACGTGGATGATAAAAACGACAATAGTAATAATAATTTTTTTTTATGATAATTCATATTTTACCGTGTGCACACTCGTGTTATCGTCATGTCTAAATGGATATGGCAATGCATCTCCACCGCCTAATGACTAATAGTCACATAGTCTCATGGTGTTTGTCCCAGCCCACCATGCATAATAATATTATTTATCTCTAATTTATATACCCTCATCCACTAGTGCCTACGACTCTTTAAATATTCCGTACAAATTAATATTTTGACAATTAAAATATTGATATAAATATATAATGTCATTAACCATGTCAGATTCTCAGCGACATGTTTTGTAGTTGTAGTGATGTTGGTAGGAAATTTTCAGAAGATATATTTTTTAACAACTATATTTTAATCATTTTGTTTATTTTTTCATAATTTTATATTTTGCTAATTTATGATAAGCTTAAAAATTATACATACTACAATATAATACATTAAAAAAAATAAAATGTTTAATATTATACTAAATTATTGAGTATTAACTATTGAGATTAAGCTTAAAAAGATTTTTAAAGAATAAGAATAAAGTAACACTAAAGAAAAATAATTCAACCTTGTTTAATACCGATGCAAAACTAAGGTAGTATTTAAAATTTAAAATGACATTTTCAAACTACATAATAACACCTTTTTTCTTCTAA